CTGCTGGCTCCTGTTCAGCCAGCTGTTGACCAACACCCCAGGTCCTTTTCTGCCACACAGCTTTCCAGCCACTCTTCCCCAAACCTGTAGTGTTGCACAGGGTTATTGTGACCCAAGTGCGGGACCCAAAATTAGATTTCTATGTCAGTGAGGGAAAAAGCAACCAAGCCTCAGCTGACAGGATGTTGCACACAATCCTGTGCTATATGAAGCACATGAGGTGACTCTGTGACCTCTTGAGGAGCGTCTTGCTCTGAGGACACAGAGCAGGGACATAGGAACAGCTCTGTGCTGTAGAGCTAGGCTGGTTTGTCCTGCTCTGCCTGAACTAGGTGGTCACCTGTGCTGTCCTCCGGAAAGTTCAGCAGTTCCCTAACAGCAGGCTTGACTGATTGCTCTTGAGCTGCAGGCTGTCATTTGGCAACACACATTAAAACATCAATCTGGTTTTGAAGGGTTTTTAAACCCAGTAGTCCTTACAGCAAAATATGACCAAAACTCCTGTACTGTGAAATCATGGGCTGCAGTGTCCGCACTACTACCTGTGCTAAGGGCTGCATAGTAGCTAAGGGGCATAGTGTGCAGCAAATCAGTAAATTAATTTAGTATGACTCCAGTGTGACGTAAGCAAATAAATCAAGTAACAGGGAGCAGCATTGGCAAGCACGTTGCAAAGACATCTAAATGATTCCTTGTGCAGTCAGCATAGGTCTGGCAGACCCAGTGCTGATCTAGAGCTAATAAAACCTGGCGAACCCAAGCTGTGCCTGCATCTGTGGTGCAATTAAGCTGTGACACGAACAATCTGCCTGCAGATAACTGTAAGCTGACTATATGTACAAATTTAACAACTCACATTAATTAATACTTACAGCTAGATTGAAAAAAATATCAGTAATATTTGGCAACAAATAGTGAATACCATTACAACTCACAAGCGTGAAGTTCAAGCATCAATAATTATGAGACAGATAGCAAAGTCATGATACTGTACATGTGCATTTTGATTTTGTAATTTAATTTTGATCTCCCTATTATTATCATCTCTTATGTTAGACGATTAACATAAATTACGTTACCATAGCACATAGAAGTCCCACTCACAGGCACTATTGCCTTAAGTGATACACAAATAGAGAACAAAAGGAAACATCACAAAGTGTTAGCACAAAAGATGATAGACTATGCAGAGATGACGAGAATGGTCAACATGCCAAGAAGGTATCTATGCATACTAGCAGCTTAGGTACTCACAATTTTTATAGGCATCCAGTAAAACAGCCCATTAGAGAAGGAAGGCTTTGCATGATGATAATGAGAGTGCTTTTTATTTAAAAATTAATTATACTATATCATGTTACCAGTGTTCCTCTCACCCGTGCCAGTTCAAACCAAGAACAATGTGTCAAGACAACAATTTGTGCTTCTCCTGTTGCTCTGAAGTCTGCAATCCACATGGGGTAGCTTCAGCTGTCTTTCCTCCTAAATCCTAATGTTAGGGAGGGTAAGTGACCTTAGAGGGGGACACACTTACTACCTATGGCAAAAGACCTATGGCAAATTACAGGCCACAGCGTCCAGACAATTTCCAACCTCCACTCTTCTGAGAAAAGTGTCATCTTCTGGCAAAAAAAGGCAGACAGTTCAAACAATCTCCTCTAATTATCCTAAGTGGCTGCTGAATTCCAGGTGTTAGGCAAACAAGGAAGTCAGTAGAGGTTTATCCATGTGTCTGACATTCATAGCTGAGGCCTTTTTAAGACCTCCTCTAGCCTTTTCTGAAATCTTGCAACTTGCAAAAACACGAGCCCTGGCAGTGTCCCAGGTACATTAGCTGTCAGGCAAGACCCAGAGCACAGCCCCCTTCTATGAGCACCACTGGCTTTGTTAGAGTTTAGCTGGCTGAATCTGTCAGCTTCCCAGCTGGTAAGATCTGTTGTGAAGAAAGCTAGAAGCAAGGGCCTCCCGCTCCTTTCCCTTGGGAACTGCTTTTAAACTGTGGCTGTACCACTGGCCCTCGCCTGTGCTACATCACAGCCGGGCAGCAGCTACATCTCCACCTGGTCTCCTACCTCCTTGATTCTGACTCTGATCCTGACTTGAGCCTACTGGCTGGGCTTCCTGGCTTGGTCTCAGACCTGCCTCATCACTACAGACTTGCTGAGCCATCACCAGACTATGTCGGACCCTGACCACTGTCTCTGGCCCTGATCATGAACCACACATGCTGCTCCACATCATGTTTTTTCTTGGTGAGGTCTCTGCTCCCACCTGCCTTGGTATCGTGTTCCACCTGTGGCTCACCTTTCCTTATAGAGCAGTTGGCCCTCACTGACACCTAACTGACACACTAAACCCATCACCACACTGTCACGCTTAAAAATCTAATCATATGGAGCTGTTGATGTGCAGAACAACTATGCTGACCGCCCACAGAAAAAGCAGCATAAGCCGTGTGAGGTAGTGGAGGCACACAGATTCATCTCTCACAGCTCCGCTACTTAGCACAGTCATGCAGCTGCTCAGCACACCTTTGTTTCACACTGACTGAATTCCTACGCTTCAAGGTTGTGTAAAGATTTGTAAAGCCAGCGCACACGGCCATCAGGACAGCTCTGACTCGGGGGAAATCTTTGCAGAATGCAGAACCAGGATGAAATTTCTTTCCATGCATGGGGCTCATTAGGACTGCTGTGGCACTTTAACTATTCTTGGCTGCTAGACTGGCTCTGGAGACTCTAGAGCGCCAAGCATACAGATGGTCAACATGCAGATATTATGATTATGAGTAGGCCTGGACACGAACTAGAATCTTGTTAAGTTCAATATATGTTGTGTATAAACAGAATACAGATGTACAAACATCTGAATATAAGACAGGAGATGACAGACACACACAGTTGGAAGAGAACCATTTTGGGTAGTTGTTGTGGTTTAGGCCCAGAGTGCAACTGAGCACCACACAGCCGATCACTTACTCCTTCCCCCCTCTTCCCTCCCCCCCCCCC